TTTCTAACAAAATCAGCAACTTCTTTGTGTTTAGATGGGTTGTTAAACCCCCTAACATTCCATGATGATATTTTAAAAGACATGATAAACTTAATAAATGCAACCAGATCACCACAAAAACAACAAAAAGATATTTACCTCCTTTTCTTCTTCTGGCTGCCTGATTTGCCAGAAGACTTCTTCTTTGTTGAGCTGCCCACTTTGAGACCATCAGTCCCCTTACCTCCCAGAATTTCTGGAGAATTAGCTTTCATTTCCTCTTTTCCCACATTATGGCCAATATCCTCAACGGCAGGGCTAACATTTTCTACAACATCAGGAAGGGGAAGATCAATAAGCTCCGTATCAACCTCAACAGAAATGTCAGCCACTGGAAGGTTAGCCCCCTCAGATTGGATCTCAGGTTCACCCCTTTTAGTCGCAGATGAACTGTTGACTTCAGGAGGGACGCTGTGAACAGGGGAGGATGGATCCCCCACTATTTTCTTGCCCTTATCCTTGACAGTGGTCCATCCCTCATCATCTTCAATCTGTTCCTCTGAATTCTTCTACAATTCAATGAGGTGAGTTACTTGAGCAGAAAGACAGGTCTTAGTCTCATGCCCAAAAACATGGCAGTGTGTACATCTCGAGGGAACCCCTTGGTACTCCACATGAATGTTCATAGAAGCATCACCATCAGTGAGAAGAAAGCTGTCAGGGAAGGCCGATTCAGCTGATATATCCACACACAGTCTAGCAAAAGAGATCCTACTTCCAGAAGAGGTAAGTTGATCCATAAACAAAGGGACACCCACAGCACTGGCTACTCTCCCTAACCCTTCCCCATCCCAATATTCCAGAGGAATGTTAAAAAATTTTACCCAGCTAGGGATGGTCTTCTTGTCTTCCTTAGACAGTTTCATCATGCGATGCCACTGTTTCAATATCAGCAGAAAGCCACTTACATACCAAGGTTCCCCCTCCAGCACATCTATACAACAATCACGATTTTCAAACATAAAGAAGAAAAAACCGTCATCATTCTTCAGAATTTCTACCAAACCCTTATGCTTCCACATATTATTAGCATTATTTTTGATAAGGGTGTAAGGCAAATTTTTGTCAATAAAGTACCCTACCAGGCAAGCATTCCATTTCACCGTGGGGGAGGGGGGAGGCATCTCAACCACAATTTTATCTTGATCCATTTTGGGGGGGTAATAGTTGAGTTTTACCTCTGATCGGACTGAAGACGACGCCACGTTAGCCCACGATCTACCCTCAGGGGGTCTGTTCTGCCCTCGGCCTCCACGACCACCCCTAGTGTTGGTATTTGCTCCTCGACCATGGTGTTGAAAACCACCACGAGTGTTACCCCCAGATCCGACAGGATTGAGTCCCGAATCCTCAGAACCACGATCATTACGACTACCTCTAGGGCTGCCATGTGTATCAGATTCATCAACACCCAGATCATGGTCCTTCATGACCAGATCCCCTTTTTCCTTTGCAATCGGTAGCGAAGAGTGATCCACCACATCCACAGTTACTCCATGAGCGATACCCCGATTTTTAGTAATCTCCACACTATCAGGCAGGTCCAACAGCTTTGATCGCCTTTCTCCTTCAACCCTATTGGACCAGTTAGTGGACATCGGGGTTAACAACACTGGCATTGTAGATCCAACAGTAGGACGGTTTTCGTCCATCGCCGATCTGGCCTTGATAGCCGCAAGACGGTCAGAAAGGTCTTGGATGGATGACGCCGTAGCCCCACTCCGTTTCTTCTCACTATTTTGTGCAAGCACAACTAGGTTATCCAACTCACATTCAGAGAGATCTAAACATTTAGGGCTAAATTCTCCAAACGACCCACTAAATCTCTCGTTCCCTCTCTCTTCATTAATAATCGTATTAAAGTTTCCTGCAGTAACCAAAGCATCAGATACAGTTTCCATTTCAAGAATGATCTCACAAAAGAAAACGACACCCTAGAAAACGAAGTTTCTAGAGAGAAGAAGGAGCTTCTCACTCTAACCCATAGCGAAAATTATATTTTTTCAGACCCTCTTGCATGATGGTAGATATGTCATTAAGGAGTTTACATACCATTTTTCATGTATTAGGGTTCAAACACTCGGACACTTATTCGGAAGCTCTTGCATGATGGAAGATATGTAATTATCGTGTTTACTTACCATTTCTCATGCATTAGGTTTCGAACACTCGGAGACTTATTCGGACCCCCTTCAATGATGGTAGATATGTAATTATGATGTTTACTTAGCGTTTCTCATGTATTAAGATTTGAACACTTTGACACTTATTCGGACCTTCTTAAATGATGGCAAATATGTAATTATCACGTTTACTTAAAATTTCTCATGCATTAGGGTTCGAACACTCGGACACGTATTTGGACCCTCTTGCATTATGGCAGATATGTAATTATGGTGTTTACTTTTTTTTTTTTTTTGGGTGGATAAGTCATAAATAAAAACAGAAAACTTACACCACTACAAGGGGCATACCCCAGGACCTAAGCCAAAAGACTATACAAGAAACTGGACCAAGAAACTAAAAAGCAAACAAAGCCGAAGAGGTCTTAACCAAACCAGAATGAACTGTTAACAAAACATATCTAAGCGATCAAACGAAAATAACGAGAAAAAAACAAAATTAAACTAGGGAACCCAATCATAGAAAAATTACCCCAAAAAATGTGTTCATGGGCCGCAGAAAAATTTTGATGTGGAACATGAACACACCCGTACAGCTAAGTAGCAAGCAACCAAGGGTGTATTTGATTGGACGGACTGGAAAATGGGGGATTAGAATCCATCGGACTTGAGTCCTGGGACTGTGAATCCCCCGGACTATTTGGTCGGATTGGATATGTATCCTGTGTTTGTTTTTTCATGGGATTAGATGTCTGGATAGGACTATTTTCAGTGAATCCAACGTTTGGTTGGACGGACTGGATAGGATAAATGAACAAAAGACTATTTTACCCTTTTTCAATTGTTTACTATGTAATAGCAATATTAAACATATCTTTAATATTTTAATTATTTTTAGTAAACATTAAACATACTAATGGTTAAATTTTGTTTAAAGATATTTAAACATACTAATATTGATAAAAAAAATTTTGACTGGTATAGATTATTTTTATTTAAACAAATAAAAATTTATTGTTGAAATTAAACATAATCTGTACATCAACATTTATTTAAACAATTAACAATTAACAATTAAATAAATGTTGATGTATAGATTATGTTTAAACAATTAACAAATGTTGATGTAATTAACAATTAACAAATGTAGATGTAATCAAATGTTGATGTATTAAAACATAATTTAATAGATGTTAAATAAATATACATGTTGATGTACAGATGTTGAAATAATTTAATAAACATGTTGATGTACAAATGTTTAAATGTTTAAATAAAACATAATTTAAATAAATGAAATTATTTATTGTTGAAATTAAACATTTAATTGTTTAAATAAAACATCTATTAAAACATCTATTAAATTTAAACAATGAAATTAAATAAAACATAAACAAAATTTTAAAATAAAACATCAATAAAATATCTATAAAAAATTATTTTAAAAAATTAAATAAATAAAACATTAATAAAAAGTTAAATAAAATTATTTTATTTTTAAATTGAGACATTTAAATTTTATTAAATATAATACATAATTAAATAGTAGAGGGTCAAAATTGTCATTTTCGCATCTAATCCAAACAGTGATTAGTCCCCCCAAAACAATCCCACCCCCCCCAGGACAGGATAGTCCCCCATATGGGGGACATGGAGTCCGGCCGGACATGGAGTCCGCCGGACTAAAAAAAAATCAAACGACGGATAAGGAGGGAAGCCGGACATGGAGTCCAAATAGTGGATAGTCCCCCCCCTTATCCCCCCAATCAAACACACCCCAAGAGTAATCAATCTGTTTTGTGCCCCCCATGCACAGCCCGCACAAGTAGGCCATCTAGCGAGACAAACTAAACAAAACAACATAAAATAAAATCTTTCTTCACACAAAGAGGCGCTTCCAGCAGCCATCCATACGAACACAGTCAGATCCCAACCTCGGAGGAACCAAAGCTGAATCCCGAAACAGACAGCACCAGCAAAGGAAGTACTGTTCTGCCACCCCTTGAACGATTTGTTCATTATGGCAGTTCCCATATCAGATCTAGTGATGAACATAAATGAAGTGAGAGAAACCGCTGAAGTAACCCAAGGTTGTAGCGGTGTGGAATCCTTTCCCCACATCGTCGATTCGTGTCTAGGGTTTGTTCATCTAGATAACAACCCTAAAAGTGAGGTAACCATGAGTGATCCTGGAAATATCCCTTCAAAGGGTAACAACACTGTTAGTCAGAGTGAATCTGACAAAGAGCCGATGGATCTTCAATGGATCGTAGATCGTCTGCAACGGATGAAGGAACCTCTTTCAACCGAAAGTATTCGAAGGTCAACAAACCCTGTTTCATCAGAGATAGCCCCAAAATCACCAGTAGTACCAAATCTGAGCCCTAGATGGGCGTTAGAGATGGAAAAGGAGGATGACACCTTCAGGAATATCCCTGATAGCTTGGAGATCGCGAGAACTAGGGCCGAGGGGAAGAAACAAGTGGTTCAATCCCTTCGATCTGACCCTTCACTCAACCCTGAAGACCTTAGTGATCAAGAAACACTAGATGTAAACGATGTTTCCAGAAGAGGGAATGGGGTTAATAGTTTCAGAGGTGGTCGGGGTGGTAGGGGTCAAGGAGGAGGCAGAGGTCAAGGTATGGCTTCTGAAACATCAAAGTCTTGGGCTGAAGTTACTGCTACTCCTGACCGTTCGTGCCTTCCGTTAAGGTACATCCCTCCTCTAGTGGATAATGATTTTATTAGCGTTGATCTGCCTCCAAGACCAAACCCGTTGGAAAAATGGGATTCTTGTCTCGTGGGGTATTTTATTGACAAGGGACTGCTTTTAACTATATGAGGAACACTGCTTTTAGTCTATGGAAGAATAAAGGTCTTAAGGAGGTCCTGGCTAATGGCGAGGGTTTTATATTCTTTATATTTGAAAGCCCTAATTGCGGTAGGGAAGTCCTTGAAGGTGGTCCGTGGTATATAGGTGGATTCCATCTCATTCTAAAACAATGGACTCGGATGATGAGACTGACTAAAGACAAAATCCAAAAAGTCCCTGTCTGGGTTAAATTTTTTAATGTCCCGATGGAGTATTGGGATAGTGATGGTTTGAGTAGAATAGCAAGTGGAGTTGGAGTTCCTCTATTTACTGATCACCTCACAGTGAAGGGGACTAGAGTGGCCTTTGCTCGAGTCTGTGTGGAAGTGGATGCTAGTGCCAAACAACCTCCTTCTTTCCCAGTTAAATGTGGTGAAAAACAAGTGATTGTTAAGGTGGAGTACCAGGGTTTACCATCTAAATGTGAGCACTGTTTGGTTTTTGGGCATGACACAACAAAGTGTGTGACTACCCAGGTGGCTAAGCTAGTTAACCTCCAGAAAGACACTGAAAACAACCCTAATCCAGGATGGAGTACTGTCCAGGCAAAGGAGAAAAGGAAAATGGGAGACCCAGATCCAAGGGAGGAAGAATTGGAAGGAAATTTGGCCAGAATTACCGAAGATGAGGGAGTTCCTACTCCTATGGAAGTGAACAACAGTCAGATTCAATAGGAGACTAGTAAGTCAGCTGTCATGGTCACTGAAACAAATTTGGGAACTCAGGGTGTTACAATTGCAGCGGATGTTTCTCTGGACATTCAGGATACTTTACCTATAGATGGGTTGGCAGAAATAAAAGAGCATCTATTAGACATTGCAAAGTTAGCCCTTCCAGGGGATCCAGATATTTTGGAGAAAGTGCAGAATCTGGCCACTACTGTGGAAAGTCCACAAGCCACAATTGGTGCCTCTCATGCAAACACTACCACCAGCAGATCCTCTGGCAAGGGTAAAAGCCAGAGGAAGAAAAAAAGGTAAACCTCGTTCTCTTGGGTTGAGAGTAAATTTTGATTATCCATGTCTTTAAAAATTGCTTCTTGGAATATTAGAGGGTTTAATGACCCCTCTAGGCAAAAAGAAATGAGAAGTTTTTTGGCTAAAGAAGATATTAAGGTCATGGGTATTTTGGAGACCAAAATAAAAGCTGTAAATGAAAATCATGTTTTCTCATCTGTTGTGAGTAACTGGTCTTTTTTGACAAACTCTCAACCAAATAAAACTGGTAGGATTCGCGTGTTATGGAACCCTGCTTTTTGTGATGTTACTTTGATCACTTTGTCTGATCAGCATATTTTTTGTGAAATTAATGATTTATCTCAGGCCAAGGTTTTCAAAACTTGTTTTGTCTATGCTGAGAACAGTAATATTTTGAGGAAAGAATTTTTTGACTATATACTGAGTTCATCCATTTTAAATTATGCCACTCCCTTAACTTTTCTTGGCGATTTTAATGCTATAAGATACAGTTATGAAAAATTTGGGGGTCTATAGAGTGGAATAGTGAGAAAGAGGTTTTTAATTCCTATATTCTTTCTGCTGAGCTTGTTGATCTATCTTGTTACGTTAACTTAAGCACCTCGCTCAAGGTTTTCTTAGTCACTTAAGTGTTCAATTCTCGAGACCAAAAGGATGAATATGAATTCCCTTCAATTTTTTTCTTATTTTTCTTTCTTTTCTCTAACTTTCTTTTCTACCTTTGAAGAAGAAGAATGTTTCTATCCAACTTTCTCCGTCCTTCTCCATCCTTCTCTATTTCTTCTATGAACTAATTAGCTGAGGCCAGTAATTGTTTCATTAGCTTAAGTGGCCAAGTTTAACTCAAACTGACCTTGCTTAGCCTCCAAGAAAGCGAACTTTCTAAGTAAATGTGTTGGTTAACGATATTAGTTTAATACAAGCACCTCATTTAATCTTTTCAAAAGTCCAAATGGTTGAATTTGAATTCCCTTTTACATTCTTCCAATTTCTCCTTCTGTTCTCTAACTTTCTCTTCTAAAAGCAAACCAAAACAAGCCGAATGTTACTCTCTAACTTTATCCGTGCTTCACCTTCCTTCTCCATTTTATTGTGTGAACTAATTAGCTCGGACCACTAATTGTTTCATTAGCTTAAGTGGCCAAGTTTAACTAACACTAACCTAGCTTAGCCTCCAAGAAAGAGAATTTCCGGACTAATTGTAGCTTAATATTTTAGTTTAACTTAATTAAGGTTCTCTAAATCATCTAAGTGTTGAATTCTCTAGTCCAAAACAATGTATTTGAATTTCTCTTGATTTTCTTCCTATTTCTTTTTCTTTTCGCTAACTTTCTATTCTTGCTCTCACGAATAATGTTTCTCTGTAACTTTCTCCATCCTTCTCTATTTTGTCCTGGGAACTATGTGGATTAGGCCACTAATTGTTGCATTCGCTTAAGTGGGCAAGTTTAACTCAAACTAAGCTTATTATTAATTTGTTAAGTGGTGGGCCTTTTTATTGGATTAGTGGGCTGTCCCACGGGTTTGCTGTTGATTTGGGCTTATTGATTTTTTTTGGGGCATATTGCATATATTTATATGATTGGTGAGTCCAAAAATTCCTGTTTAGCCACAAAGTAGCAAACCATTTACAGTTGATTTTCTCGTGTTGATTGTTCGTGTGATCCTCATGTGACTCGATATGAGGGTGGTGTTGAGCCATCTCCGCCAAGAGTGATTGGGGAGTCATTGCTTTGGGGAATAGTGGTTCGATAACCAGCTGAGTTAGAGACTGGGAGATGAGCGGGAGGATAGCTACCGGTTTTCTGGTCGCTTCTTGTCTTCATGTGACCCGTCCTAATTGATCGTATTACCACGCCTGACATGGAGTGAAGGGCACACTGCCGTGGGGTTTGAGGTTTGTGATCTACCAAGGAAGGGACTGGGGGATGTGATGTTTGATCTCATGATTTTATTGGCTGTGTTTTGGTTTGTTGCTGAGGGGCTATTGTTTTCACTTCAACTCCCTAGACCGTGACTTATGGTTCTTGATCGTGCTAGCTTCATATGACTTTGCTGGGATTTCTCATGAGGTAGACTTTTTCCTCCGTCACGGCTTTGGTAAGTGGCTTGGATTTCACGGCTGTGAGGAGTGGGATGCATATTGGATTCCATGTTTTATCTGCAGTCGAGACTGGGGGCATGTGGGGTTGCCTATCATCTTTGTTTCGGCTAGGGGGTTGTTGCTTTGTTAGTATGTTTGTTTTGTTTATTAGCTTGTGGTGTTTTTATGCATGTCTTTGCCCATATATCCATCTCAAGTTCCCATCTATTATCTATGATGGTAGGGGTTACTTGAGGACATAATGGATATATGGGCAGAGTTGGGTAATTGTGTTTTCAATTTCTTGTTTACACCACTTTCTTAGGGGGTGCAGTGGTAGTTTATGTTGGTTATATTTATTTTTTTATTATTATTGTTGTTGGGCGTGCCTGGGGTATGCCCCTTGTAAACATGTAAATTTCATTGTCTTTATTTTATGACTTACTTACCCCAAAAAAAAAAAAAACTAAGCTTACTCAGCCTCCAAGAAAAAGAATTTTCTGATAAATTGTAGCTTAACGATATTATTTGAACTTAATCACCTCATTTAAGGTTTTCTAAATCATCTGAGTGTTGAATTCTCAAGTCCAAAATGATGAAATTGAATTCCCTTTGATTTTCATCCTATTTCTTCTTCTTCTTTTTTTTCCTCAAACTTTCTCTTCTAACACTCAAGAATAAGGTTTCTTTTTTGGGTGAATTAATAAGGTCTCAAGAATAAGGTTTCTCCGTAACTTTCTCCGTCCCTCTACACCCTTCTCTATTTTCTTTAACGAACTAATTTGCGTAGGCCACTAATTGTGTCATTAGCTTAAGTGGCCAAGTTTAACTCAAATTAACCTTGCTTATTAGCCACCAAGAAAGAGAATGTTATGAGAAATTGTTGCTTAACGATATTAGTCTAACTTAAGCACCACGTTTAAGGTTTTCTTAGTCACTTAAGTTTTCAATTGTCAAGTCGAACAGGATGAATATGAGTTCCCTAAATAAAGCAAATTGCCCATATATTTTCCAAATAACCCCTACCATCTAGAATAATAGATGGAAATTTGAAAAAATATATGAGCAAATACAAAGAAACCCAATCCGCGTGCAAAACCACGTTACAAACCCGTGACCCAAAACCCGTACAGATGGGCTTTAAGAATTTCAAACCAAGTGTATTGGCGGGCCACCAAAATAACCCACGGCTGAAAACACAAACACCAGCCCAAACGTGGGCCCCAGTCATCACCAAAGATGTTGAAATAATAAAATGGCTGGCTGGCCCCACGTAGAACTCCACTAATACAAAAAAGTATATATAAAATATATATATATACTACTAAAATGTATATCATATTTGGCTTGAAAGAAACAATAGAGTTTTTAACAAAGAATATAAACCTGTAGAGGTTATCATCAAATCTATTGTACTTATTATATAAATATAAATATAAAGATCCATAGGGTAGCCCACCACGTACAACACATCATAGCTCAACTTTTCACGTGAGCCCCTCTTCCCAACAACAAGAGTACACAACACGCCACCAACCACATCAGCCCCAACTACACAGAGAATAGAAAAACCCATGTGCAGCAGACATCATCACCTACCATGCAAGCTAAAACATCAATAGCATGTATAGCTTACAAGCTGAACCAGCATGCGTAAGCGGGAAAACCGCATCACCAAAAAGGAAATCACGCCCAACTTACACCGTAGCCCCAACGACGGCGGCTAAACCGAAACTGGACAACAGATGTAGCTGGGAAACAAAAATCACCAATAACCAGACCTGTAGCATTACCTCCTCAGAAAAGAAAACAGTTATCGCCGGAGAAGAAACACACCACAGATCCACCGGAAAACCCGTCGCCTGGTGAAGAACAACCAGGCCATCTCTGAAACAGACCCAGCACACTAGGATAGACACCCAGCGCTGGTACCACCCCAAAAAAATGGCGCCGGAAACCACTTGACCATGGCCGAAATAGCCACGAGGCTGGAACATTTCTCCGTAGCAACGATACTAGCAAACCGAACCAACCAGAGCTGGAACAGAGCCCATACCAACTCCGGAGAAGAGCCCAAACCACCTACAAACTTCACGTAAAGCATATAAACAAATCTCAATATGACCTGTCACCCACCGGAGAGACAGTCCAACCCAAACATGGACTGAAACAGAAACCAGCACATGGACAGAGGTCACCTGAGCTTATTGAAAAAACAGAGCATCACTCGGACATGGAAACCCCAAAATCTCCAGCGACCCAAAACCATGGATAACGCCGGTGAATCAAGTAGAGACCCAGCCTTGCTGAACTGTTAGCCAACCCACCTAGCCGAACCATTGACGACCACATTGGTGGTGACCTAACCCAGGACATAATGCAACGACATGGACACCCACAAGTCACCCGAGTATAACACCAGGCTTAAGGAAAACCCCAAACCAGCCATGAAATAGCCGATCTAGGAATCCAGAAATGTTGAAACTTCCATGAAAACCGAACGTTGATACAAAAGTGCAGAGCAAGAAAACTGCGCACCTCACAGCCGGGGATAACACACCTTGAACCAAGCTCACTCACACTCAAAAAGTTGAGTATAAGGAGCTAAACAACT